AAAACAGATTTAAAAGCAACACACCATACACGCAAACCTAGAGTATCGGTTCACCAGCACATGGTGCCATTAGCAAAGGGAAGACTCGAATCCAGGATTCCAACATTAGACCCTGTTTTTTTTCCTCCCCCCCCCCCCCCCCCCCCCCCACAGCTTACCTTCCCCTCTCTTGAGAGAGGAGATAAACAGAATCTGAATTTCTGGTCCTGCATTAAAATCATTTTCCAGCTGAGTTGTGATTTTGCTCAAGCATCCCGCTTCCACACGGCTACACAGCTCCCTCCGCTAACAAACATTGTTTAAATGACAGAGAGTGAGAGAGAGAAAGGTCTAGAAACCATGATATTTCTCTGTTAGAAATAGAGATTTGTGTGTGGCCTGGAAATTACTATAGCAGAAGCTAAGAAGTTCAGCTAAGAAAAAAAACGACTGCAATAAACCCCTCCACCTGTTCCAAATTCACCAAAGGGAAACTGAGGCAGAAATGGGCTGTAAAAAAAGGGGGAAAGACAAAAAAGCTGCAGCAAATGTGTTTCTCTAGGATCAGTGGTAGGGGAAATATGACCTCTTTTTATCCCCCGTGAACTTCAATTCCCAGAATTCCCAGGAGTTCTGAGAATGGCTGGCTCAGGAATTCTGGGAGTTGAAGTCCACAGGACCTAAAAGGTTATATATAGTTCCCCAGCCCTGCATCTAAGGGGTGTCCTGGTAGCAGAGCACAGTCTCACAATAACCACCACTCAATCCAAATATTTGGATTGAGGGGAATATTTACATGGAGAAACGCCGTTCGACACTCAATAAATTTCAATTCAGTTGAATCTACTTAGCCAGACAATCTGGAGTTCTGCACTTCTGTGGGCTCTCTCCAAAGGTTTGATGGATACTCACCGGCAATCTGGACTGACCCATCTTCTCCCAATAGGATATTGCCAGCTTTCACATCCCTAGGAAAAAGAAAGGAAGAAAGGAAGAAAGGGAGGGAGGGAGGGAGGGAAGGAGGAAAGGGAAAGGAAGAAAAGAATGAAAAAAAAGAAAATAGGGAGGGAGGAAAGAAAAGAAGTAAGGAAGGAAGGAAGGGAAAGGAGGGAGGGAAGAGAAAGAAAGAGAAAGAAAGGAGGGAGGGAGGGAGGAAAGGAAAGATGAAAGGAAGGAAGGAAGGAAGGAAGGAAGGAAGGAAGGAAGGAAGGAAAGAAGGAAGGAAGAGAAAGGAGGGAGTAAGGAAGAAAAGAAAAAAAATAGGGAGGGAGGGAGGGAGGGAGAGGGAGAGAAAAAGAGAAAGAAAATATAGCCATGAGTATGGATGCAGATTCTTTGTTTCCTTCCCATTGCGGCATGGCGCTCCATGACTTAGGCCGAGGATACCTGCGAGACCACCTACTGCCACTGGTAGCCTCCCACCGTCCAGTGCGATCCCACAGAGTTGGCCTCCTCAGGGTGCCGTCGGCCAGACAGTGTCGGCTAGCGACCCCCAGGGGGAGAGCCTTCTCTGTGGGAGCGCCTTCCCTCTGGAATGAGCTGCCCCCGGAGCTTCGTATAATCCCCGACCTCCGGTCCTTCCGACGCGCCCTAAAAAGTTGGCTTTTCCAGCAAGCAAGCCTGGCCTGACTTATGACGCGTAAGCATTTATCATCATTCCAACATCAAAATTTGAATGTTTGGTAACCGGCAAGGTACAGGCAGTCCTCCATTAACAACCATTCGCTTAGTGACCATTTGAAGTTACACTGGCACCGGGAAAAAAGTCATATTTATGACAGCTGCATATCACGTGACCCCCTTTTGCGACCTCCTGACAGGAAACGCTAATAGGGAAGCCAGATTTAGACTTACGACTCAGAATAGCTTTGTCGTCACTTTGAATGTACACATTAAAATGAAATTCCATCGCTCTCAAGGGGTCTCCACCTCTAATATACACCACTACACAAACACTTAACAAGATTCACTTACCAACCGGGTTACTAACTTTTAACGACTGCATTGATTCACTTCACAATTGCGGCAAGAAAAGTTGTACAATGGGGCTAAAGTCACTTAACAACTGTCTCGCTCAGCAATGGAAAAGTTTGGGTTCCATGGTGGTCAAGGGCTAGCTGTATCCTCCAAGCCAACAAAAAAGAATGGATGTGGGTGTTGTGGCCCACCAGTGGCCAGCGGATCTGGCAGAAGATTCGGATGGTGAGGGGGAAGATGGGCCAGTCCTGGAGTCTGGGGAAGGCTCTGATGAGGGCTCTGTGTCGGAGGCAGAGAGGGGGCCAGGGCCGTAT